CAGAAAAATCACTCAACAGTAATATAGAGTGTCATACCATACTTGTCATATTATACTATTGTTTCGCGGGAATGTAAATTGTGTCTAAATCGGAACATATAAGTAATGCTAGAAAATGAGGCACAGTTGTCTCCTCTGGCGAATTTTGCACAGTGAATTCAGCCGCTAGCTATATCTGATCTATAATATCAAGCTTTAACCGATATTTCATGTCACATTGATAGCATCCCCTGTGGCTCATTAATCAACCGCCAATTCCGAGAAGAACGAAGACCCAAATGACTTATCCCTCTAAAACATGTTTATGAAAACAGGGCTAAATCGTATTGGGAAGTTTAAAACAAGTTCACGACGAACATTCAGTCAATAATCAATAGAATATTAGCTGTTTGCAACACTATTGTGCAATAAACAGTCATTGTCCTCCATCTTCAAAAAATACAGACTATGGATACTATTGAAATAATGACACAAATTTATAGAACGAACGTGGAGGAAACCCTGAGGAAATGTTTACCACGGCGTGGGTGTCTCTCTTATACGAGAGATGTCCTGGAAATGGGCCAAGATTTAACGGTGCATGGAAAAATTGATATAAATGAAGATAGCTAAAGAATATATCGGGAGTATAATACGGAGACAGGCAAGATGGTACGTTTGTGCGTACAGTTGATTATTAAAACGAAGCGTTGGATTTCATTTTAGATACAGTTTAAATAAAAATTACTGTATTTTATTTATTCTCTAAAAATGTACGAATAAATACTAAAATGGTGGTGTTTTGGTAGGGATAATAACGTTACCAACGTAACTTACTGTGGCACCACCATAAGATCCATAATAGGTAACTAATGCCATAAATCGATGACCGCGGTACTCTAACAGCTTGCACCGTGAGCGCTGAATGCGGAGGTCCCCGGTTTAATTTTCAAAATTTCATAGTTAAGCAAATTACTCTTGAAAACGCCATATTAATTAAACTCCACCGCTTATTCGTAAGGCAGATTTCCCTGAGAAGAACGAACAAGAAACTCTAGGGGTTGCTCTTTGTAAATAAACATTTGAATACATTTATCATTATAATGTTTAATTTAAACATCTTAGATTTAGAGATTAGAGACTACGTGTAAGGGCTAAACGGGTTGCTACCACGGATTTTTGTCATCCGTGTACACAGAAGCTGTAGAATAACAACCCCTTAACCGTAACAACCTTTTTGTTTCACTATAGTTTTAAACCTCGTAAATGGCAAATTTTGAATATCAACCGGAAGCTAAATATAGAAGCGTACATATTGCCCCTTCAGAGTCCATTCAATAGGTACTTTACATATACCAATAAATTCAGTGCCTCCAGTGAAAAAGGGAACAACTCAAAATCGACACTTTTCAGGAGAGGCAAAAAAACATATTTTTATTGATTATTGGTTGTTCGCGTTTATTATTAGTACTTTTTATGATTTCTAGCTTTAGGTATACATCTAAGCTTTCGTTTAATGGTTATTGGTTAAATATTTAGTCATATTTTCTATATTTTTTTCAGCTTCTTTCGAGTTGCAATAGTTGCAGCCTTGTTTATGAATGCTTATCGTTAATAATACGACTTATGTTAGCAAACTTTAAGACATAATTGGACTTATTCCCTTAACTGCGACTGTTCTATGGTTATAACGATACTTATGACACTAACTACATTGATAAAAGACATAACAACGTTAAAGGCATATAACGACAAGTTTTCTGTAGCGAACTATTACCCAATAGCAACACGATATAGTCGCGGGTATGACTAATCGTGTCCAGTGGAACAAACGGAATGCTCAGTTATACCTATATGTACACTTGGAATAAGGCAATAGTCGCTTTTAGTCACTATTTTTCCCAGTCATTATGGAACAATACGAAAAGTGTCATTATGTAAAAATATATCTGTACTTATTCGTTAAGCGTGCATGTATTTTTTTTGAGTTGAGTGCACTTGTACCTTATGCCCGATAACTAAAATTATGCATTTAAAAACAGTGAATTATTCTCTTAGTGCAATAAGAAAAACGACGTTTGGAGACTGCTCGAGAGCTTTTGATATGTTATGTAATCGGAGACGCTGAAGCCAATAAGTGCAATAAAAACAAAAGGGCATAACTCGTCTTATTCAGTTTTTCACTGGAGGCACTGAATTTTTTTTATATCAACTGAACTAAACAGAACACGTATAGTACAAGATATACATTTTTCAAAAGGCTTTAGTTTTGTTTGTAAATAATAAATTCCAATTCGGATATAAAGCCAATGTTCATGTCACTCGACCCGCACAATAAAACCAATTCAGTACGGGAAAAAATTAAATTCGAGCTGAGGCTCTTTGTAAATTAACATTTGTATAAATTTATCATTTATAATACTTATTTCGGATATGATAGATCAAGATAACCTGCAACAGCTAAACGGGGCTGTATGTAACACAACATCAGAATGGCAAGAATTGTGAATGTCTAACTGAATCTTATTATATCAGTATTTTCCCGGATACGGATTCAGATGCGGACCGAACGCAGTGCGCAAAACCCCTACGATATTGCTCGACCGTTTATCCGGATTCTAGTTGCCTTCTTTCTTTCGCTTCTTGATTAGCAGAACAGTCGGTAAAGGCGCGACGTTTGTCAGCATTCCCCTATTTCGGATAAGGCCGTCTTGAGAGTTACATATTCGGTTGTATGCGTATTTCACTATTCAATATTTAATAAGAAACATACTACTTTTTACAAATAAGTATATATTTTAGTTTTGATAATATTACAGGGAAGGTAATAAAGACAATACAATGAAAGCTTAAATACTAGAAAGTAGAACTAGGATTTTTAATAAAATTGGGCCCCCGCGACTAGGTGCCCAGTCAGCCCTTTGTACTGCTATGCTAATGAGTTGGGCAAGGTAGCTGCCAGTCCTTCGGTTTCCCATACAGTCTATTAATGTTTTCGATAAAATTTTGTGACTACAAAGGCTGTAAATAGGTAGTCGGACCCGAGATCCCGGTACTTATTACTTTTTATTCTTTCCACCAGCTCAGCTGCGGAGCCAGACTGGAGATGGGATGGGGCAAGTGTGTTGGCACATGTGGCGTCCCGTACCAGTGCCCGGCTCACACTCCAAGGGATGAGAGTCATTTCGTCCGGGCGTTTGCCATCTGTTCGCGACATGCCGTTTGGCTCGAGTACAGCGGGCACGTTAACAGTGGCTAAGGCCCAGCAGCGGTTGATATGGTTGAGGGCTGCATGCTGGGAGATAAGGCCAGCGCTCAGCTGGCAAATAAATTTATAAGTAACACCTTATCAAACAGACATGAAATGTGCGTCAATAATTGTTATCGCATTTTTTTTTTTTCAAATATCTTGAGTAAACACGGCCACGGCTCTTCTAAGAAATTCAGCCGTGCTTTGTGTATTCGTCACGTAGTCAATGATACAAGTATACTGGCCTTCCTTATCTGTTAGTTGCGCAATGCGTAACGAGAAGTGAGTGTGCCTACAGCTCCACCTATTTGGAAAATAGGGGGGGTACTGTGTGTGCACACAAGGCAGCTCAGACAGCCTCTTGAAAATGGGCTGAAAAAACTTAATAACAATAGTAGAATATAATAACAACAGATTTAATAAGTAATATTAAATGTAAATTGTATATGAAATCCTCAATATTGTAGAATGTCACATCAATCAGGTAATTAAATATTAATTTCTTAAATTCTACACAATTGTTGCAATTCCTCATTTCACGTAGAAGTTTGTTGAGGACCTTCGTAGCCATTAGTATTACACTCTTTTGAAGTAGAGCAATTTTACATTATCTAGTTTTTCAGTTGATCAGAACGGCCCGCCCGCGATGTGATGAATTCAAATAAATGAGAATAACGCTTAACGAAAACTGAAATTTCAAATAAGGAGTAAATGTTTTTAAATTATTAAAATGTGGTTGACAACTATCTGCTTTTTTTCAAGCTGCATATAGCCCAAATACATCTATTTTGAGCTTTGAATGTGCGCTCAATAGTTTCCCAAATTTGTATGTTGGTACATTTTTGTTCGTGTTGAAATTTTGGAACGATTGAATATAGCGATTAGATCAAGTTATTTTGTAAATTCTGGAACTAAATATGTCGGGCTTACACGGTCGAGCTTGTGGTCTGGTCTTAGCGAAAATAAAAGAATGGTTTGGTTCACATAAATTTATTAGAAATAAAAAATTAAAGGAAAATAAAAGAGAAAGGATGCAACAAAAATAATACAATAATATAAAAAAGGTGCAAGCATTAAATACCATTTCCTACTGTAGTTTGAATCATAATTAGATGTCCAAAATGTAAACAAAGAAATGTCATTGTCAAAATGGGAGCGCAGATGTGCTAAACCTGTTGTTTTTAAAGGAATATGAAAAGTAGGTGGTTTACATTTTCTACAATTTTAATTATCTATTACAAAATATTAACAATGAACCAAAAATTTCACAACAACACACACGTCGATAAACGATGCAAAAATGACATCTATGACAAAACGAAATGGCGATACAAAAAATGTTTTTAAAACCCGATTGTGTTACCAGTACATTATTATTTATGAACTTAACATCGTCTTTTATTATAATTATTTCATCAAAAGAAATTAAGTAAAAAATGTGTATTGCAAATGTGAATCCAAGTTTTGTCAGATTGCAGCTTGAAAAGCGTTCTAAATGTTTATTATCGTTAGAAATAGGAAACTACCATTTAACATAGATTTTTGCTCGGTTATTCCCTTTGTTATCAAGTCCAGGCACTATGGAGACCACGGAGCGCCACTTTACTCTATCCTGACACAACTCTCGAGGCTCACATACATCAACTACACTTTTCATACAATTTCTTTTATTCTTGTCACTTCGGATCCCAGCCTTTTTGAGGACATCACTGATCTGGTCTTTTGAAATGTCCTCTTAAAACCGTTCCATCCACATTCACATCATAAATCTCTTTGGTAATTCTTCTTACATGCATCAGTTGTACATGCCCAAACCACCTCGACATTCCTTTCTCTAATCTAGTCACTACATCCTCTTCCAAGCCACAGCTTTCACGTATTATTGTATTCTTCACTTTTTATCACAAATTTTCTTCAAAGATCATTAATTCTACTTTCACGCTTCTTCTACCATACCCAACTCTCAATACGAAACGTCAGTTTATGAACCAGCATTGCATTGTGTGCTTTGTGAGATAAGATGTTGTTCCCCGTTAGCCCATTTATGGCTCCATCTACTGCGATTCCCTTTCGTACCCTTCTTTCAACGTCCTGATCAAACTTATATAACGTAAAGTTGTGTTTTACATGATTATTAACAAGCACGTCCTCTGGCTTCGAGAATTTCGATAGGAGTGCCACTCGACTTTATAATAATAATAATATAATAATAATAATTTATTGTACATAAAAATAGAACATGTTACATGGCATATATTACAATTAAACAGGTTTTGTACAACTGTGTCTAAAATAGAGGGCGATACATTCCAACCCTGAACTAGATGGTAACCTATGTCTCAGGGGTGAGAGTTACTTTAACCAAGAGTCGACGCGCGAAGGCGCATGTCGTCGCGCGTCGATGCGCGTTTCCATATTTACATAATACAAATTTGTACTTTAACAATGGGAAAACAGTGATGAATATGCCTTAGGAGAACAACATGACGCGTCACGACGTTTCGACTCTGCGCCATTGTGAGTGGAGCCTTAGAATAGTGGGAGGAAAAGGAATTCGAGAACGATTCAAAATTTTAAAAGTAAGTGGCCAGGAACCAAGAAAGAGGGTTATGAAAACGTGGGATGATGATCATTATCATCATCGTCACAAGCTTTTACATCTTGAGCAGTAGAACAGTCAGGAAAGGCAAGGTGAGGGAAAATACTAGCAGCATTCCTCCATTTCGAATAACACTGTCTTGTGAGTTACATGCTAATCTGTTATACACATACGTTGCACCATTGACTTCCGTTTCCAGCATTGTACAATCGATATCATCTGAAAAAATAATATCCTGTTATATATCTTTCAAGTTAAAATTGCCCGTGTAAGGTTATGTAGCTCCTTTACGGGTACATTATAAAATGTGGAACAAATTGTCTTTCGTTGTCTGAGAGTAATCGTTATTAATAGTAAGTAGTATTAATTAACCAACCTCAAAAGTTTGTGTAATTACAACTATTTGCCAAGTTTTAAAGAAAACGGTTAAGAAATCTTTACTAGCTAAAAATTGTGGTTACACATGCGCGACTTTAATATGCAGCGATGCAAACGCGCGACTGCATCGATACAAACGCGCGATTGCATCGCTACACTTGTGATTGATAAGCGATTATTTATAAATAAATAAATAAAACACACTCATAGCCCCGCACTAGGAAAACCCTGAGTCGCGGGTGTCATGGACACACACATAGAACACCCAAAGTCACGTGAGGAATAAATGTAGGCCATACAAATATTTCTCCCTGCTCAGGAATCGAACACGGGACGTCTGCGTGGCAGACAAGCATGGTAACCGTTCGGCCACTGAGGCAGTCAATCAATCGCGCGTTTCACGAACGTGCTTTTACATCGATAAAAAGACGCCGTTTGTAACCACTTTAAAGCGAATATCACACTGTACCGGAGCGCAGAGCTGCGTTTTTTAACGTTGTACTAAAGTACCTCAGTTTGTATGGAAAACACGCGCCGTCGAACACACTGACAACGCTTCTCCGCGCGGAGGGGCGCGTTGAACAGCAGGGTATGGCACACTGCGCTCCGCACTACCGCGCAGATTTTTAAGCTTAAGGACATCTTCAGTTTTCTACAATAGACCTCGACTCGATATATTTATATTTGCTATTAAAAATCTATCAAATTTATCTTCATATTTTCTGTTATGTAATGAAGTTGAAATTATCCATTTCGATCTGGTCCGTAAAAATATGCAATATCTTCAGCGTCTTTTTATTTGAATAAACAAAAACCAAATAGTATAACTGCAGCGTCCTGAATGAGTTCTATATTATTAACCATTCTTGTCAAAGAAGGATGTCGGCTACATATAAAATCACTACGGCGTACAACTACGAAGGGAGTACTTTAGTACAGTGTGTTAATCGCCTAAATCGTGAGTTGCGTTTATACTCAACTTATTTGCGTTGCGTTGCGTTTATACTTATTGCGTTTTTTTTTAAGCTTTGTTATGAAAAATGCACTATTATGCCTAAAATACAGGTACACATGTACTTAGTTTAGGCATCGCAGTTGCACTATTAGGCACTAAGATTAAAATGTTTAATTTTACCATGATTATTTTATATAATTTAGATTTTTTTTTTTTTGTTTTTTACTGTTTATTTTAATATTTTATCTTCAATTACATTGTTTTCATTATAATTGTATTAGATTAAGTCATGTATTGAAATAAATTTATCTTTATCTTTATCTTTATACGCCTAGACTACACTAATAGCCCGCTTGCGTATATCTCTACTTTCACATTGACCTTTCATGAAAATCTTTTTTATGTATTTTTTATTTGCACAGGTATTTTATCATCTATTTAATTTTCATCAACATGGATTTTTGGCAAGTTATTCAATATGTGAAGAAGTTTACACATCCAAACTCTTTTACCATAATCATTTATTCCACAGTGATTCAATCAACACTTTTATTGTTATACGGAACCAAGCAAAGCCATTTGAGATAGTATAGACTCTTAACGAAAATTGATTACTAATCTGTTACCCTTAGAGGTGGAATATTTTCTTTAAATTTAAATCGGACCAATACTGAGGTACCATCTTTCCGACAAACAAAGAAGAAAGAAAAAATGCAGGTGAATTGAGAATGTCCTCCTTTTCTTGAAGTCGGTTAATAAAAATAGAGTTAGAAATTATCACGATGTTTTATTTTCTTCGATCGTCATCATGATAATTATGCGATAATTATTCATGCTGATCATTGACTTACCAATAAATGGACGACGGGTCTAATACAAAAACCACGAAAAAAATGTCCCAAGTCAACCTATTCGAAATTTAAATTGTTATGTCATCGCAGTATCGCGCTGTCCGTAGAACAAATGAAGACTAAAGCGGAGTGTCGCGCTCTGTATACGATTTTAGCGCCTTACAAGTGCGGACACTTTTTAGCGCGGACCCGACGTCCATATAATTGTAAGTCAATGGGAAAACGATATAGTTTGTGACTTTTTTGATATTAACGTTTGACACGTTTGGATACATCTTTGATACAAACACATGGCACGTCATTGTTCCAATTAATTTTATAAATATGTAGACAATTACAAAGTATGTTTACCGTGGTCATTGTCAATGACAATTATCACTTACAACCCTGATTAAAAATGTGCGCGAATACAATTCGTGTAGTTTTTTGTAATATTGCTTTCTTGGATGTTAAAATCTTACCTGTTTCGTCACATTCCTTGTTGCGGAGTGCATCTAATTCTATTTTCATATTGTCACACAGTATTCTAACCGCTTCATCTGTATCATGTTGAAGCAATTTTCTAAACACTTCCCGGGTGGTCTCACGAATCTCTGCAATATACCATACTTATATTTCTTTTTCCTTTTTTTGTGATACCAAGTGACAAGTTGTGCGCCTGGTGTAAAGCGACACAACCGGAAAATACTACATACTTGGACGTAGTAGCAGTTATAAATAAATTACCTGATGTTCCACCAGGTAAAACCACCATCAACGCCAAGAGTAATATCTGGAAAGAAAAATTATTCAATCAATTACACGTCAATTGTATTCTACTTGAAAATCACTTTGTACAGAAAAACCTACACCACGTTTCATTTTTAGTTTTTTTATTGAATTTATACACCAATATGTCTACTGCAGTAGGAACACGTGAACTGGTAAAATAAACATTGAACATCCTTATATATATTATGGGACACGCCATTTATCGTCCATATAGGTTGGTAGCACCAGTGACCGATAAGCACCACTGTTCGTTACTTTTTTTTAAATTCATTTGTAATAACATTTAGGAGGAAAATTTTCTACACACGTTTCTTATTGGTAAGTGTCAGTTACTGGGTGTTCATTATTGGTGAGTGTCGATTACTGATTAGTTAATTAGTGGATTTTTGGTGTTAATTACTAGAGATTTCAGCCAAAATACGTCCACTGCTGAACATAGGCCTCGCCCAAAGAATGCCATAACGACCTGTCCTGCGCCGCTTGCATCACCAGATCATCAGTCCACTTGTGGGTGGTTTGCCCACGCCGCGTCAACCGGTACGCGGTCGCCATTCGTGAACTCTTCGGCCCCAACGGCCATCTGTTCTGCGAGCAATGTGCCCTACCCAATGCCACTTAAGTTTCATAATTCATAGGGCTATGTCGGTTACTCTGATTCACTTGCGGATATCCTCATTGCTGATTCGATCTCGCAATGAAACTCCGAGCATAGCCCTTTCTATTTGTATGACCTTAAGCCTTCTTATGACGTCAGTGAGCGACCACGTCTCAGTGCCGTAGGTCATCACTGGCAACACACACTAATCGAATACTTTTGTCTTGAGACATTTTTGTGGTATTTTGGACAAGAAGATATGGTGTAATTTCCCGAATGTTGCCCAGCCGAGTCGGATTCGAAGATTGATCTCTATCTAGAGCAATTGTCATTTAGGTTATTTTAGTAATAACTATAATAGCTTTTTTATGAAACATACTACAGCATAACCTTTCTTGAGGACTATATCTGTCAAGTAAACTAATTACTATGTATTGATATAAGTCTAAAAACAAAAAAGTTGTTTCAAATTTAAAGACACGTCCCTTAAAGTATCGATCATTAGCGCCACCACCTCAAGGCGTGGTACTCATTAGCGAATTAACATGCAACGGTTATGTTACCAAAAATCATAGTGTGCACGTGGTAGCGAACTTGCCGCGAGCGGAACACGTGCGTTTCGCAGTGAAGACTGTTTTACGAGTATACACTGGAACCTCGTTACTGTATCTTTCACGTTACGGTTACAACTCTCTAATAACAATATAATAATTATGGAGTTCTTAGGTTATCGCGACTGTTACACATAGGAAATGAAACTATTTTTCCGGATTCAAATCGCGTGTATTTGTTTCTTCAAACAATTTTCAAAAAAACAAACGATGGGCTATCTCCCGTTGTTGCCGATATTTTCATGGTAGACTTCGAGGAGCGAGTTTTACCAATGACCCCGGCTAGGCCGAAGATTTTCAAACGGTAAATATTACCTAAAGATAGCATACCTTCTTTCTTGGTCTCAATTCTTTTAGTACGTTCCAATTTACCATGGAACTAGAGAATTGTGGTACTTTCGCTTTATGTTTTAATTAAGAAAAATTATAATAACACCTTAGGTCATACTGTATTTAGAAAGAAAGCCCATATAGATAAGTACCTCAATGGTAATTCCCATCACCATCCTAGCCAGTTAACTACCGTGGGCAAATTGTTGTTTCAGAGAGCACATGGTGTCTGCGACAGTAATTATCTAGCAGGGGAACTTTAGCATGTAAAGCAAGACCTACATGCGAATAAGTTGAAGATTCCACGCCGATGCCACAGGCCCCGGGTGAAACCACCAACAGTCAAGCGAAGACCTGCCATTTTACCTTACGTGAGAGGTGTTACAGACAAGATCGGAAGAGTCCTCAGGCGTGCATCTATCAAGACCTATTTCAAGCCCCTGAGGAAGATTTCTCAATTCCTGAGACCCGTGAAATGTAACATCCCCTTACAGGATGCAGGAGTTTACAAGCTTGACTGTCAGCGCGGTCTCTCTTATATTGGACAAACGAAGCGAAGTATTTGTACCCGCGTCAAAGAACATACAGCTGATATTAAACACCGTCGCATAAACAAGTCTGCAGTCTGCGAGCATGTCATGGATAAACCTACACATTCAATGAAGTTTGACAAACCCTAGAACCTTGCAAAAGAAGTCGCTATCTACCCAGGATGCTGCGAGAGGCCATTGAAATTAAAAAAACATCCTAATTTCAACAGGGAAGATGCTTTCTCCGTACCATCAGTTTGGGATTCAGTACTTCCTCTGATGAAAATCCCAAACAGACATAAGACTGCAATACTAATTAATATGTTTTAGTTTATTCTAATTTCTATTATTAGTTAATAATAAATTTAACTTAATAATAATTCACTCAATAAAACAATTTGTAACAAGTAATGTAGCGTAAATTGGAATGTTTCTTTGTAAAATTAAAAATAATTATTTAATTAATAACTATTGTAACTATAGTGAAAAAATACGGTGGTTTGTATTAACATTAGACATAACTAGTTGATGACTGTACCACCTCGGTCAACCGTGACCATGGGACCTGTAAAGGGCCCGAAACGTCGGTATGTTTGAAAAACAAATATACGCGATTTAAATCCGGAAAAATAGTTTCATTTCCTAAATATAATATTTAATAATAATTATTATTTATTTAAGAAAAGAAAGTACATGTACAAGCTAATTGATCTACAGCAATTCAAAATTATTAAGATTGTGTGCGTGCGTGCGTGCGTGCGTAAGCGCGCGTGCGCGTGCACGTGTGTATCTGTGTGTGTTCGTGTGTGAATATGTAACGTGTAGTGTTTATAGTTTCGAGTGCTATTAAGATTACTCAAGCAATGGTCGGCACTGGCTTTATTACGGAATTTATTTTTTATAACCGAAATTAAAACCATTCGAAAAATGTATATCGTATAGTATACGTAATCTATTTAATTCAATTGATATAAAAAAATCATTGGTATATATCTATTATAAGGCATCTATT